TGTGTGACTGATGATGTACAAAGGATTTAGTGAAAGTTCTTACGTCTGTAGACAAGGATGAAAACAACCAGAAACACCAACCCAGTTATTATGATTAGAACTATTCCAACGTCAGAAATGCCTGCAGCGTAAACCAAACAACAATTTTCCAGCATTATTCATCATCCCAGCATTGACATCCTGAACTGTCTTTGTTGGAAAATGTGAAAGGAGCAGTTTTTAAGAAATTTAAAAAATAAAAAATGTTATGTGAACAGCCACAAACTGTCCCAGTTCTCATAAGCTGCAGAAGTTTTAGGATACCACATGTACTCTCTCACCATGACTCTCAGCAGATGCAGTGGGTCCTGTAGTTGAAAAAACAGCAGACGTAAATGATTGGTGGAAACTGAAGGAAACAAATGTGCATTCAGACTCTACTTTGAGGCATTAGATTAACAGAGTTTAATTAAATGATAAAATAATATCATCAATTTGGAAAAAAAGAATATTTATAATTTTTAGACACCAGCTTAGAGGTTACCATCTCGTTTTCCTCTCCACTTTTTAAAGTGGCATTACAAAATGTAATGTTAGCAAAGTGAAGTGAAGTTAGCCAGTAAAAGTCTTGTGTTCGATGGGGTTCGATGGGGTCCCGGGTTCAATCCCAGTCTGCACATCAAATATGCTTGTGCAAGACACTAACCGCTGGTTGTTCTCCAATGCATCCATCAGAGTGTGAATGTGTAAGAATGTAAGTTAGGTTGCACTGAAAACCTAGAAAAGTGCTTGTGTGAATGGGTGTGATTTGTTGAATGAACAAGTTGTATAAAGCGCTTTGAGTGCTCAGAGCAGAAAAGCGCAATATAAGAACCAGTCCATTTACCATTTATTAACCTAATATAGTAATACCTCATAATCAGAAAACACACATTTTTAGTGCCGAGTATAAGCACATCCTCTTCTGTGTCAAACCTTTTTGGCAAGTTTGTCATTTTCTTGCTAACAGTTACGATTAAAAGTCTTTATTTTTTAATATTTTTATTTTTAAAATGATTTTATTAAAACTGCAAAAAACAAAACATTATAAATAATGAATTAAAAGTAAAATATATGTGCAAAATGAGCCTGCTTTAATATGCTGTGCATTATGACCCAGGGTCAGATAATAAAATAGCACGGCTCACCTACAGTCAGGGACAATCTGTTGAAGAACCTGTTACTTCGGTGTTCATTGGTGCTTTCTGCTCCACACCAGTATGTCCCACTGTCGTCCGCTGTCACTTCTCTCACTGTCATGGTGATATTTTTCTTCTCTTTATTGTCATTCAGCCAAAACCTCTTGTTCCTATTGGGATCTCTGGTGCTTACTAAAGGTTTACATATAGATGGATCTTCTCCCTTACAGATAAATTTTGTATAATTTGAGAGAGTCTGGTTATATTTACACCAGTACGTGAAGTTCTCTCCAACAGCTGGTGATCTTGTGAAGCTCTTAATATCTGTGGAAAACAGAGGCAAACATACGTTAGTAGTTCCTAAATATAAAACGTAAACCTTTAAAGTGGAAAAGATAAGTTATTTACTTTTAATACTTAGTTTTATTTTTGTGAGTGCAGCATGACGAATCCCCTCAGGTGATCTTACGCCGCACCAGTAAATACCATCATCCTGAGAGGACACATTACTGATGGACATATTGAAGCTATGGCTGATGTTTGAGGGAGTGAATGTCCTGTTTGACTTTGGATAAGATTTTGTTGATAAATTGTCCTCGCAGGTGAAACCTTCCCCTTTGCAGAAAAACTTGATCCACGACTTGTATTTGTCTTCTGGATAATCACATCTGATGGTGGTTTTAGCTGTCCTGTATGGAATTTGATGAAATGCTTTTGGGCATTGTTTTGCTGGGGAAAAAAAAGTATTACTCACAAATGTCTTTTTCTCTGGAAAGGAAAGGCTCACATGATCCATTTATTTAGATACAGTAATCCAAACTATGAATGTGTTGACCAATGTGAATTAAAATCAGCCACAGCATATATGAATGTGAATAAGAAATTATTCCTTCTTACCAATTTTAAATTCTAATTCCTCGCTGTCAGCTGATGAATTCTTCGTCTGATGTTGCTTAATGATCACTCTGAGAGTGTTTTGCTCAGTTGTTGAAGCCTTAGTCATTTGACATTTTCTAGTTGTGTTTTGGTTGCAGGTGAATTCAACCCATCCTTTTGTGCAAATCTTCTCTTCTGACAGCAGCTCACAACCTAAAGCAAACATGATAAAGGTCACTGAAATAAAATCCCAGAGGGGTGTCCGAAGATGGTATTTAGGGAAGGTTACTTTTAAAATGTATTCCACTACAGATTAAAGAATACATGCCTCAAAATGTATTTTGCAACGTATTCTGTTACTCAATGAGAGTAACGTATTCTGAATACTTTGGATTACTAATATATGATCATGCTTTTTACAACTATATGAATGTACTATTGCTGTGTGATTTATTACTATTACTGAAGATTATTCACCATACCAACACCAACTAGATTTTTAAATCTTTATTTAAAATGAGTAACAGTAGGTGGACATTAGGTAAGGCTGCACTTTTTGCAGCGATCTCGTAGAAAACTATTCCTGTATCAGTGATGTTTTCTTTTTGTCTGCTTTCATACCTGCACTTGATTATTTGCAGCTAGCAGGTTGATAATGCAACATTCATTAATAGTAATAAATCAGACAGCAATAGTACATCAAAGATACTTTAGTGGCACATAACCCAGGTAACTACCACAACTAAAACAAGTTAGTTGCATTAGGCTAACGCTAGTTTTTTAAAAAGAACTTACTTCCAGCTGAGAGCAGCTTTTTTGCTGGCAGGTCAGATTCACTTTAAATGTGAAGTGGTGTCGGAATTTACAGCTCCGAACCGTAGTAAAGAGACATCTGTCTAATAAGTCGCGCTCCATGTGTACACGTGTGACAGTGTGACACAAGTAAGTGAGTGTTGGGCCGGAACGTTAGGCTGTATGTTGTTGTTGTTGTTGTTGTTGTTGTTGTTGTACATGACAGAGAGTCAATCTGAGTCACATGACTTGTTAATAAACCTAACTGCCCCGTTGGGGTATTCTGTAGTCTGTCGTGCACGAGACCAGAATACAACACCGTGTTCCCAAACCACAATCACAAACACAGTGTACTTCTAAGTCTTAACAGCTTACTTACAACTGGGCTCGTACGTGTATTCTGTTACTCCCCAACACTGCTCTCACAGCACTCTTTTCTGCACAATGGAAGCTGTGGTACAGCAGCCGCATCTCTGCAGCCACAGTACCAATCCATCTATCGACCTCTCGCTTCCCTCTGAACAAGACCCTGTGACTGCACAAGTCACTGAACAACCTTCCACCATCTGGCTATGCCTAGAAATTCTGTCTACAAGAATTAAGAATACAATCAATGACAAAGCAGCGTTCAAAACCCACCAGGAAATAGTCCAAATTATTGCTGGCAATGCAAACCAGGCTCTTGCAGCAGTTGTATAAGAACTAAATAGCTTGCAACAACCGACCAGATACCCCATAATAGTGGACCATGTCCCACAGAATACTTTGAGCGACAAGGTCGAATGCATTGTCTCTGATCTATTGTTCTGCACAGATGACAGGCTGGACCTGCTCCCTGACCTGGACGCACAGAGAACAAACCCTCTCATTCAAAAGCCCCGACATACAGGCAAGGAAGCCGAGGGGACACCAGGCTACGCACCCCAGCCTGCCGCCTCTCAACAAGGACACTGGTTCCAGAGCTCAAACCGTGTGTAGAGGTGAGCCTGATTATATCTGGCTGGTACCTCTCAACCTCACATACTGACCCAGGATCCTTCCCCACCAGAGAGCTGATGTTTCATATCCACACCGCCAGCCTCGGTTGCCAGGGATTGGTCCGTCAGGGCCTCTGCCCTCGGCTGCCACAACACACAACCCACCCTACCCCCACAGTAGGGGGGGTAGGGTGGGGGGCCTACAGGAGGGCATAGAGACCTTTTTTTTTTCTTTCTTTTTTAAAATTGTAATCTGTCACAATTGGCTTGTTACATCATGAGCTCATTACAGTTTTCCTTTTTCTTGTCACTTCCTGTTTTACTTTGCCTTTTGCTTTTGTGTGTCATTTTGCCTTTACTGGTTGTGTTCTTCTGTTCCTGTTTGATGCCATTGAGCTCATTTTCCTGTTCTATTGTCTTGGAGTTCTGTTGTTGTTAAAGCACATTGTTCATTAAAATTGTTTTTATTCACTCTCTGCCTTTCCAAATCTGTGGTTTCCTCTTACATCTGCTCAGGGGCGTTTCCTAAACCTGGACACAAACCCTCTGACGTAAACACACACACACAAAAAACTTTACACTTTAAATAAAATAGAAACTTAAACGCTTCTAGTTTGAAGACACTGTGTTTTAGTGTATATAATGAGTGCCCATTTCATAGGACATTACACACTACAATTAAAATCTTGGCAAAGAGGAATTTCACAAAAATAACAAAGATGTGAAATGAAGTGTTAGAGTCGTCTAATTCTTCTAAATGAGGTTAAAAAAAGCTGTAAAACAGCTAAAAATGAACTCAGACTATTTGCTTCTGTAATCCTCTGTCTCCCACATTGTTTCACCCATGGCTGGCATCAACTTTGAATTCAGCCTGGCTTGGTTTTGCACTCTAAACTGGCTTAAAGCAATAGTAGTAGCAACAGCATCATCAGAAGTAAGTTAGTTTTACTAGAGGATTCAATGAGGTCTGCAAATCATATTTAACTCTGTGAAAACTCGTTATTTTTGCCAAAAGATGGCCTGTTTCAAAGTAAATTATTATAAGTTATGAAGACAGTACATAAGCAGAAAATAAAAAGCTCAAACTCAAACGTCCTACTGTGTATGATTTAACACCATAATAAGAACATATAATGTAATATACAGTACAGCACTCATTATTATATAAGATCAGGGTTAGTAATCTTTTTACCTGTCATTAGTGAGAGGATGAGCAGTAGAAGTAACTTCATTATGTTTGTTTTGTTCTTTAAAATCTTTATGACTAAAGTATTCAAATGTTGTTAGTTCCCATTCGCTTGTTGGCTGCTGAGTTGCTCTCCAGTGTCTATTCTTAACTTCATGGTTTATGGAGCCTACATTTTCTCGCTGCTCCTTCCTGTTTGTACTTCCTATTTTGAAATTGTTTTTAATGC